TTTAAATCTCTTCAATATTCTAAGTTACCTAAGTAAAATACTAATGATCTAAAGATTTATATTATTTATAATTATTTATCATTAGTATTTTTACTTAGGTAACTTAGAATATTGAAGAGATTTAAACATTAATTACTCTTAATTAATTAATAACTTTTTTTTCAAATTTATGAGTATATATTTTGCAATAATATAAATCTAAAGATTTATATTATTACAATAATTAATTTTATTCATTAATTTTATTTTATATTATTACAATAATTATTAATTTTTTAAATTTGATACAATATTTAATCTGAATAATCTTAAAAAAAAATTTTCCTATGTAAAATTGTAATTTTATTATTGTTATAATATTTTACTCATTATACAAGACATATTAACATTACATTTGCTTTGTAAAATTTCTGAGCCAGAAGTTCAAAATTTGAACAGTTTTCTTAATTGTCAAAAAAATTCAATATAAAGCAAGCATTATTCTGACATCAATGTACTATATTCCAGTTTGGCGTTTAGAGCTTCATTAGTTGCCACGTATAGTCATTTCTGGCTGACGAGGAGAAACGACAATGCTCGTCGCGTGCTTCTAATAACCTTCCATAAATTCATATTATCTAAATTCTCCCGGAATTTCTTCCACAACGAGCCGCTTCTGACCGCCTATTATCTTACTACCGGCATTCTCATCTGACGTCCTTGCCGTCCCTTGCGGCAATCGCGGTGGAAAGCGCATAAAAGCTGCAAGCGGCCCGACAACAGTAACCTGCGCACCTGCGAACCAGCCGAAAGCGATTGCGTAGACCGGAACGTGGTCGCCAGTGAGAATCGAGATCCCGCCTTGTCTACACTGGTCATCTCAACGAGAAACTTCGCGGAGAAAAAACTTCGCCTCGATGTATCGAGACCACAGACGATTCTCGATTCACCGAATCAAAATGACAATAGAATTGGCAGCGCATTTACTTCTGTCGAGCCCTACTATGTAACAACTTTGTAAGTAAGATTATAATTTGTAAAGAAATTAGCGATTATCAATTACACTTTTAAAATATGATTTTTGCTGTCATTGTGAATCTTAATTGTGTTTAAATATATACGCTAAATTATCGAATATTTATAATATGAAATAATTGCTGCATAAACGATATGATTATTTTATGAATAATGTTTTATATATATATACATATTTTTTTTATTTTATATTTCATTTTTGCAGATAATTTTTTAGAGGATTATCAACAGATCATTTTATTTTATCATATGCAGAGGTAAGATTCAATTCCTATATTGTCTTCTATTTTGCTTGCACCAATAGTTGAAGTGACAGATACAACACGTGGGCATCATCTGAGATTTATATATATCATTTATGTTTCGAAATATCTTGGACATCAGAGAATGCTTAGCATATTCAAACGAATTGTTAACTTTGTTAACACCTTGATAGATATATGACGTTTTGTTATTAATTAATTAAAATTATTTCATACTTGATTCTTTAACCTGTAACTTACTCTTAATTCAATTCCTGTATAAATAATTATATAAACAAATTCATAACTGTTGTTATCTTCATTATAGAAATTAATATTTCTTGAAAAAAATAATTACACTTATGTACTCTGCGCTAATTATTAAAAAGTTTAAAATTTTATTTATAGAATTTCTTTCTATATAAAAAGAAAAATTATTTTATTTTAGATACTTGCAAACTTTTTTCTATTTTACGTTTTGTACAAAGAAAGACACGAAATTAAACTTTCTTCTTTTTTAATAAAGAAAAAGATGATTTTATTTGGAAGATTTAACAGCGTCAGTATAAAATAATAAAAAATTGAGTGATGTAATTAATTTATTAAAATGTTCATTAACACGGAGATACATTTAATTAGATCGATTTATCTTTCTTTCAGATTATTATGCTGATAATAATATGCTTCTAAAATATAATATCAACGTAATCAAACCGGAAGTTGGTTATACTTCTTAGAAAAGCATGATGTTTTAATATGGCAGTAAAATGCATGGAAGGACCTTTTGTATTCAGATTAAATGAAAATGGTACTGGACCGCATCTACTTGTAAAGGTATAGTTGATTCAGAAAAATTATACGTGCTTAGAGAAACGAACGATCATCGATGAAGTTTTCGACGAAACACAATCGAAATTATAGATTAGTAATAATCTGATTGTAAATCTGCACGTCATTCATTGGCAGCGCGCGATGCATCGCGGATAATCGATACGATTCAACGCGAAAGGTCGTCGGCTCCGACGGAAAACGTTATATATCCGATGGACGCGTCGGGGGTAGGCCCTCCCTCATCCCTAAATTTTTTATGTTCTCTTAGAATTTGTTCGCGACACGATTATAAATTTAGACTTAGCGCCCTTGAGCTAAATACTTTTCAAGGAATGTGATACATACATGAATACAACATGAATACCTGCAACGCGCCTCTGCGTGCATTCGTCCACTTTTAGACGCGACGATTAGGTAAGTGCGACATGCAACGGTAAAAAAAAAAAAAAAGACAGAAATCCGAGAAGTAAGTTGGATTTCGTGAATATTTCCAACGCCTAATTTATGATCTATTTCATACGCCATAGTTATTAATATGTTTTATTGTATTTCTAATTATAAAGAATGACTCCAACGAGTCCAAGTGCCAAGTATAGACTATGTTGTGATTGAATTTCAATGTAAATTCTTTCATGAATTTAAAATGTATCTCCTTGATTAAAATCTTAAAAGAGGCCTCTACTATAAATACTATCGCAAATTTTTAATGTTCAATAATTAAATTGGCAATTATTCAAAAGGTAAAGTTCATATAAACACAATGCAATAAAATCTTGTTATTTAAACTATTAAACATAAACATAAATATTTATTTTCAATTATTTGTGATACGTAAGTTACTTTCTTCACTATTTTAATTAAAAAAAAAGTCATAAATACATACATACATTCTTACATTCTAAATAAATTATTATTAAAAAAAATCATGAAACTTAAAGAAGATATTTTTCTTTTCAGTTATTTTCTTTAATTTCATAGCTTATTAAAATCCATTTGGATTGATAATATTTATAAATTACATTTGCGCATCGTTGTTGTTACCCTAATAAAATATAACATTTTTATCACCCAGTTCTATTTGTCTGAAAAATTCGTTTCGTCAATGTCAAGCATCACATGGAAATGCAGTAATATACGAAATTATCTCACTTGACAGACTTTGTTTATTAAATCAATTGTCCGTTTGTCTTCGTTAACTACAACAATAGGGCAAAATAAAGCAAAAGAAATTGGGTTATCAACGAAGGAATATCGTAAAAAATGGAAATTTGCCAATGGCAAAAACAGATGTATAATTCGGCAATCATTTGGTGGCATATCTAACAATAAAATAAGTTCCTTCAAAACTACGAAAATAATTCAATTATCTCATACACAACGCATGATTAATCAGAATTAATCAGAATTAAATAATGACATGTCATATATTGAATATCTTAGATAATAAATTAATTCTAAAATTTTTTGTGATGGAAAAAATCTGCATAAGTACTGTGCCTAAGAAATTATGTTCATCTCCAATTCAAAAATAAAAAATAAATATTAAATAAACATATCCAAAGTTTAAAATACCGAAACAAATATCATCTTCAAATTGACAAATACTTTGCAAATCTTTTTTCAATTATTTATAATTAAAAAGCTGATTTTTAAAACATCTTAAAAAGTTATATTAAAAAGATTAAGAATTATTATATAGAAAAATAAAAATAATTATAATCTCTTATGTTTATGAGCGTATAACTAACACTATTTCTGAAATGTGAATTTAAGACAGTTTAAAAATAAATTCTTCAATTAAAGCAACATGTCGTGCATGTTGATTTAATTGTAATCAGAGACCTTGGCTCATTTCTGATACAGCAAGCATTTATTCCTAATGATCTAATAACACGACAATAAATCAAGGGCGATCGTCGCTATTTTCGTGTTTTACCCTCGAAAGTTTCAAAATTTAGAAATGCGTGGTCTACAATTAAGGGATGCACTTTCGGTTGTCGAAGTGAAAGTGGTTCCGGTTCTATCAATTTAGCCAATTGGAGAAATCGATGCAACACGTGCACGGCGCGTGGATTAAATAAATATTGATTACAGTATTTTGGTTGCAACCTAGTATAAGCGCATTTAGCAAAATACTAAAATAAATCGAGTACATTTCACGAATTTATTTGTAAGGATATTTATACCTAGAAATCGATCGCATCGATAAAACTACTATTTTCATCTAATATATTCTACTTGAGCAGCTCATTTTTTAAAATTGCGCGGTTCAATTTTAAATCATTATAAAATCCAAATCAAAATATGAAAATATAAATTAACGTAGTATATCGATCGTCGAGTAAGATTTTTGAAATCGCGCTTACGCAATTCATTCTCGCAAGAATAATGATTGCGGTTGTTTGTCATGACGTTTTATAACGTTTTATATTGTTGCGAATAATACGAGGAAGATTCATTGCTTTTTTTTTTTTTCATTGCCGTCTGACAACGAGGAAAAATGTTCGAGCACTCACGCGCATCGACATTTGAGACGGGTTATAAATAGTACCTGGCCCTCGGAATAAACGTCGAAGTAATATCAACCACCCTTTCGCTATCGCGGATGTTTTCTTCTGTAGGTTTGCACGGAACGGGGATGGCGGGAGTACGCCGGCGAAAATAATGTATTCAAAGATCGATGGAATTTATGGTGGCGGTCCGGCGGTTTCCCCACGTCGCATTATAGGCCGTTACTCCCTTGGCAGGTAATAGTGCAATATCTAGCTATGTTTTAAAATCTCGAGTTCTTTATTCGCAAACGTAAACAAGCGAACGAGGAGAGGAATCGTTTTATTAAATTCTTTGTAATTTTCTTACTGCTATATTAAATTTTTGTTTTGCAATATTTATTGGTAATTTTCAAATCTGTCTCAGACAGAGATTAGAGAGTTAAGTTAATTTTAACGTATATTTATAGCAACGTTTATTTTCATCGTACTCTATTATTTTTTTTAATCATTTAATTATTTGTTTAAATTTACTTTAAGTTTATTTCAATTTTTTATTAACTTAATTTATAAAACTTAGTCAAACGATATATCAAATTATTTTTCAAATAGTTTGTCAATCGAATACCCAAAGGAAATTCCATCTGCAGAAAGGATAAGCTTATCCGTTATTTAAAGCGCATGAAAAAAGTTTACGGTTCGATTTATGACTTCAGGTATATGAACAAACTTTTAATTATGTTTACTCTGTATTAATGCCCACCTGACGATATTCATTCGTTGTATTAGTCCTGCAGGATATAACTTGCCTTCCGAATATACGAAATTAGCCGAAGAGTGTAGCCGTTGTGAGAAAGATGATAAAGTTTGGATTTGTAAGCCGGTTGGCCAAAGTCAAGGAAGAGGAATCTTTTTGTTTCGTGTAAGAACTTCTCTTTAAAGCGCGAATCTAAATACAAATCCGCAATAAATTAAATAATAGATTTTTTTTTCTTAGAAATTAAGCGATCTCTCATACGACAATGCCGCGGTTGTGCAAAGATATATCGAAAATCCTCTGCTAATCGGTGGATACAAATTCGATCTTCGCCTGTACGTGTGCGTACCTTCATATTGCCCGTTGACAATTTACCTGTATAAGGAAGGTCTGGCTCGTTTTGCTACTGAGAAATTTTCCTTGGAGCGATTGGACGATCCTTTTCAACATCTCACCAATTTTTCTCTGAACAAGCTAGGACCAGGCTATTCGGAAAAGAAAGAACGCATCGGTGCCGGTAACTAATACTAATAGTATAATTTCATCATACATTTGATAAGTTTCATATAAAAAAATACATTGGTACATCATATTTAAAATACTGCACGTATTGTACATATAATTATAATATTTAAATCTTTTCTTGATCTTTTTAATTTTATCTATAACGCCAATTTTTTTGAAAAATGATTTTATGTATTTTATTTAATCAATATTTCATTTATAAGAAAATCTCATTTCCCAGACTTGCCAGAGATTTTTCATTAAATAATAAATAAGTTTTTATGTATTAACTGTATGTTTTCTTAATGCTTTTATAAATGCAAGAAATAAAGAAGATTGAAAAATAATACAAAAAAATCTTTGTTCTTATATAGGTTGCAAATGGACATTTAGACAACTACGAAGATATTTTGAACAGGCAGGATACTTCGATTGGATTCTTTGGCAAAAAATCTCGTGTTTAGTGACTTTAACGATCTTAAGTCAAGCAGCAGGTATTCCAAAATCTTCCAATTGCTTCGAATTTTTCGGCTTTGACGTGCTAATCGACGAGAATTTAAAGCCGTGGCTTTTAGAGGTCAATACAGTGATTCGAAAAAATAAAATATAACAAATCATTATCGAATAATAAAAATATAATAAATATGTACAAATTATATTACAGGTGAATTTAAGTCCGGCTTTGAGTAACGACTGTGAAGTCGATTCAGAAGTGAAAAAGCCCTTACTACATGATCTGTTTGATTTATTAGGTCTTCCAGTATGTAATACCGGGCTTTCCTTGTTTACTATCTGGTCCTCTTCGAATAATATTGAGGAGGACGAGGGCGAACTGTCTTCCAAGTTCGGCCGTTCCGTGAAAAAGAGATCGAAATTCGGACGAGAGACTGAAGCTTTTCTAAATTTTTCCCCGGAGACTCGAAATACGGTAATCGCAAGCTTGGTGTCATCGAAATTAAATATCAACAATCAAAAATAATATTTCAAACTCCGACAGAAAAATCAAAGAAATTAATTTCGAAACATTAAAAATTAAATAACAGCGAAATAATATTAATATTAATAAGAAAAAACTAACTGTTTGCAAGTACATTGTTTATTTAAAAAATAAAAATAACATACGCTTATGTTGTAATTTTTTTTCAGCTAAAACAATCAACACCGGAAGTTTGTTCGACTACCTGGCCCCGATATAATCCTTTGTTAATGGACAAATGCATACGTCGAGGATTTAAGGGAAATATGATCGAGAATCATGCATCGCCACCAATTTGGGATAACGGTAAAGACTGGAGAGCTTCTTGTACAAAGGAAGGTGGTTGGATTCGTATTTATCCATTCACTCGAATGAAATACACCGAGAATACAGAATATACAAGACCATCGCCTAGAGTTGTCGAGAACGAGATCAAAAATATGGTTCTTTCTATACAAAAGTAAACTTATATTTCGAAATTCTTCCATTATATTTTATTTTTATTTTATCTTGTTTTGTTTTATAAATTATGTGCACATATATTCATACATCCACATCCACACCCAATATCTCCCCTATACACACAACTCATATATATATATATATATATATCTCGAAATGCTTGCCATATTTATATTCTGATAAAGTTAAAATTTTTCTTAGTAAATCTTTAAAAAAACTTTATAAATAGCATCGCATAAAAAGTTAATGTGTTTATTTACGGCAATGCAAAATGATTGTGGTATAAAAGTAGGAAATATATACAACATGTCTTTGTAATACGAGTTTTTTCCAAAACAGGTATTTAAAAGCAGCAAAAGAAGTGCAGCAACGAAATGAAAAACTCACGGATGACCAATGCAATACTCTCTTGCAAAACGCATTAAACTTAAATACAGAAATTTGGCTGCCAGAGAAATAAAAACTAGTGAGGTCTGCGTTTTTCTCTCACATCCACGATTTCTTTAAATTTATTTGCCATCTAAGCTTGTTCAGGTCCTAATATTATTTCGAAAGATATTTTGTACAGTTACATATAATGCACATTATGTTAAACGTGCATTGATCTTCATTGTATATTATAAATCAATTGCGCGATTTTTTGCAATTAGCAACTAAATCCGCATTGATATTGATATTTAGTATTAAATGTAGCTATCTCAGGCTAAACTCGTAAATAAAATTATTTTATTACAATATTGTCTTATTAATTTTATCACAATACTTACATTACAATAATCGATTTTTCAATTTTATTTTTTTATAACTGATATTATAATTAATAACATTTTATAATATATTGTGTTGTTATAATATATTATATTGTTGTTATTAACTATTATCATCATAACAAAATGTTTCCTGTAAAATATACAATAATATTCAATTATTATATTATTAAATTATTAAATTACAATTATAACTTAATAATTAACTTGTCATTTTTCTACATGTAAAGTTATTACAGATGACCACATTTAATGTCAAATGCGATTAAAGAAACAGATTACGCGTTTTTTCATCAACAATGATAAATCAAATTTACTCACCAAGTTGTACCGTTTCGCCAATTTATATAACCAATCTTTGGAATTTTGGGCCGATTTTTCCCGCTTTACGGATGAATCATCGGAAGAAATATCACAATCTATATTCACAATTAAATTATTGTTATAATCAACTGCAGTGATGTTGATAAACATATGGAATTTTCACATGTATTATATATGTATATATGATTTAATTAACAAAATAATAAATGTAACAAACCAAATTTGTTCATCGGGCTCATTCTTGAACTATGCGATTGCTTGTGTAATTTTCAAACTTCTCAATTTACGCCAAAATATTGATTTCTAGCAAAACTGCGCGATAACACGCGAACGTGAATACAGATAAATACGATGCAATAATAATTCGAAACTTTGTTCGTAAATTTGGCGTGAATTAAAACGAGCCGATTTTCAACAATTAAAATTCGCGTCCGCGACTCTTCGCACTCGTTTCGCAATCGCCATGACCAATATGGCCGTTCAACATGCGCGTAACATACCTCCAGCAGTAATGCGAACTTGTGCTTGTGCCCGAGCACGCTGACGATTTTCCCCCTCCACTTGCGTACACACAGAGACGCTCCGTCCGTGAGCCCACGCGCGCTTGCGCAGCAGACACACAATAGACGGAGCGTCTCTGTTGCGCAAGTAGAGGGGGAAAATCATCAGCGTGCTCGGACACAAAGCACAAGTCGCATCATTGACCTTCAGTCGGTTATATTCAACCACACGTAGCACACGTTCCTATATATTCGCGCATCATGCGACCATAATTTTAAATCGATAAAAACTATATGTTCTATATAACTTTATCGGTTAATTCGTTATATTTTTTTAATTCTATTTTTAACCTTTTTGAATATGTCTGATAAACGTCAAATTAATGAATAATTAATGTAATACATATACTTCATTGATTTCTTTTGTTGGGTCCCGGTCATATTTTGTATAAATCAAGTTCGAAATAAGAAATATAGTAACAATTTTGTGATATTATATCACTAATTATACTATAGTCTTTTAATAATTATTACATTGGAATTTTCTCATCTGCATGGATGGATAGATGAATGAACGGATAAAGTTCTACCAAGTCAATCTCGGTTTATTGGATGTTTTCTTGAAAATTTACATTATTAATTCACTCCCTTCGCTGCTAATCTCTTATCACGTTCTTCGGCGATCGATAGCTTTACACCCTTGTCTCTTGGTAAACTCACATATGCTTTCGTGCCTTTGCCGATGATGAAGACATTATTCAATCTAAGCAAACAATTCATGTTATATATAGAAAATATTGTAAATTAAATTACCGAAAATGTATTTCAATTTTAGTACCTCGTTGCAAAGGTATGTCCTTGAGCATCCTTTATGTGACAAATGTCAAAGGAGCCAGGGTGGCGCTCACGACTCACGACAGTACCAACACGACCCAAGTTCCTTCCACCAGTAATCATGCATAAGTTACCTGAAGCAAAGAAAATTACATTCAATGTCTTCTTTTCAAAATTTGTATTCTCTCTTCCCAATTTTATATAATTACCAGAATCAAATCTGATGGAGTCCAAAATCTTGCTAGTAGCAATATCTAAGTGAATAGTATCGTTGACTTTTATAACTGGGTCAGGATATCGAATTGTTCTGCCATCATGCGTAACCAAAAATGGTATTCCTTTAGGACCCGTTTGAACACGCTTTACCTTGCATAATTTGTACTACAAAACAGACAAAATATCATATATAAAAATAAAATATATAATTAAAAAAAAGTTACATAATAAAAAAAAACTTACTTTAGCTTCCTCAGCAGTAATACGATGAGTGGTAAAACGTCCCTTGACGTCGTAAATTAAACGGAAAAATTCACCAGTTTTCTCAATCGTGATGACATCTAAGAGAATTCAAGTTTGAAAAATCATTAATATACGTTTATCTATATTCATCAATGTGTATAAATATTTTTAATGCACAAAATATTTTTATGCACTTTTTTGGTAATACAGAAGGAATATGCAACTCAATCTGCGACCGAAAAAAGAACTTACTTTATTATCGGCCATTTTTTGACCATGATACTCATGAGACTATAAGTACCACAGCTTCGATAAGGCCAAACATTTAAATCAAACATGAAAGAGAAAATGTGCTATAACAAATAATTAAAAAATAATATAAATATTCACCCATAAAACCAGCTGGATATTTAGGATCAGTACGAATCTTTCCATCAACCTTGATCAAGCGTTGCATCACGATTTTAGTAACCTCGCAATTAGTCAAGGCATACTTCAACCTATTACGGAGGAAGATAACCAAAGGGAGTGATTCCCTGAGTTTGTGTGGACCAGTAGATGGTCGTGGGGCATATACACCCCCAAGTTTATCTAACATCCATGCTTTAGGCGCGTTCAGACGCTTCAGATGCTTCTTCGGACCACGAGCCTAGAAAAAAAGTTTTAATATAGTAATAAAACATTGAAATTAAATAGAACGAATAGCAAAAATAATTAAAAATTCCTTTTATATTAATAAATTAAATATAAAGTTTAAAAGTTAAATAATGAATTTAATAAACCTATATATGTTTTAATATTTTGTAATTAAAACTGCAAAATCATACATCAAATATATACCATTATGGATAAAATACAAAATATTGTTGTGCACTTTTTTGGTAATACAGAAAGAATATACAACTCAATCTGCGACCGAAAAAAGAACTTGCTTTATTATTGGTCACTTTTTGACTATAATACTCATGAGATTAGTACCACAGCTTCGATAAGACCATCAAACATTTATACCAATTCATGTACATTAACCTAATCAATTTGAATTTTTTCACATAAGCATAAATTCATTACATGTCTGGAATTAACACTATGATTATGTGGTTTATAGAGATCTATCGTTAAAAAATGATCTATACTATCAATATTATAAAAATATAATATGTAAAAAATTCGCAATATACTAACGTAAAATCTTTAGCATTACGTACGCGATCAGAATGGGAATCATAACGCTAGCATTCATGAAAATTAGGTTAGATCTGAACATAGGTTAAGTAATATTCAACATCACTTTTCTCGAAAAAAAAAATAGAGTAATTTCAATTTAACAAAAATTTAATCTTTACGTATTATGATAAAATAACTTCAATGCAATTGCACCGATAAATATTATTAGAAAAAAAAACTAAAAAATTATCGAGAAAAATAAAACGAAGCGATGGAACACATCAATTAATAACACCATTATTTTTTCAACACCAAGATGCAATTAACTTTTCATAAATATATCATCAGATACCCGAAGATATGCACTATGGATTTTTCATGTGTATCAAACGGATTCGTGTTGCGTACGCGCGATGTACACGGATCTCGCGAGCCGCATCAAACTTACCATCTTGGATCTCTAAACGGAAAAGGCACGAGGCCTCACGTCGCGTGCACACGTTAAGAAGGTTATTCGCGACGCCACTGCAATCGTTATGACGGCCTAAAACTACGTGACATCAGATCGGAATCAAGCGTCCAAATAAAATCACTAGTTACGTGAGAGTCTGATTGGCCATTGCTCTTTATTGATACGGCACGCTATAGGTTTATTTAAAAAAAAAAGAATATTTATTTAAAATATAACGAGTCTATACTAATTTAGCTACGAATAAACAGACTATATGCCTGGAATCTATAAATTTGTACTTTATTTATCATTTTTTAAATACATATTGCGATTAATCTTTTTTTTACGCAAAAAACATGGCCACCATTCGAACGACAAAATAACGTTCGTTATTTTGTTTTGGCTACTGCTTGTTTGTTTGTAATTAGATTATACTTTTAGATTCAAAGAAAGAGTCTTATATTATTTCCAAAATAGCATTAATAGCTTTAAAATATCATAAATTGTTGCATCATGCTGATTGCGTCCTGAATATACCTAATATTTTCATTGTTGCCTAACACGTTTTTCGATTATACTGATTGGCTATTTGAAAAGGTAAATAAATTCTCGAGTTTCCAGAATGATTTCCAGCCAATCAATAAATAGCTTGAGAAGTTGTATAATAAATAGCCGCGTTTAGCAAAATGTTTATTTTATATTGGAAATTTTCTTCGCTGAGGTTGAATTATAGCTCTTGAGAAATAGTTCTATTTCAGCGAAGAAAACAGTTGTAAAATAAACATTCTCCTGAACATAGTCAGCTATATAGTTTTCCAAGAATTATGTCTTGCGGAACATTTTCAAACTCGGTTGTTGTATATAGTTCGTTTTGCAAGATTCAAATCAATCAAGAAATATGCCATTCGCGCTCGGCGATTTAAATATACTGCAAATTAAAAAGGAAATATAAAACATATTCATCAACGTGGAAGATTTTACAGGTATAATTATAATATATTAATATATTAATAATACACGAAAGATAAATTTCTTCAGAGTAATGTGAATTCAAATTGTCGAGATAAGAATCGAATAAGCGAAAGTCTCGAAAGAAAAGGAAAGAAAAGAAAAACAATCTGAAATTTGAAGGCAAGGCAGCCGGCCGCCTCCTCAGTGGCGTCGATAAAAGAGCGACCGTGGAGTCGGGAATGAACGCGGACAGTCAATCGGTCAATCGGCCGGCCCTCTCGCCGCGACTTCATGTCGGTTCCATTTAAAAGCCGCAATTGCGACAATATGGCGGAACGCGCGTCCGCGCCGGTATCGTTCTGCCCCTCGCAGTAGTGACTCGCGCTCGTGTCCGAATCCGGAGTCGCGGAAAAAACGCGTGCGGAACGCACGCGAGCACGTACGTACAAGTCGCATAATCATACAAACATAGTTCACGCGTCGCGTATTACACATATGTACATACGTATATATATATATATATCTCCTTCTTTCTACATTTCTCTTTCTCAGAATCACTCCGGATCTTCGCGTATCCCGCACTCCGGGTATCTCGCGCTCCCGCGAAACACACACGGCGGCGGTCCTCTACCTCAGGTTATTATCGATCAGCGTGCCGGCGGCGATGTGCCGCCGCGGATGATGGAGCTGACGCTGGCGCGCGACCTCCTCGTCGGCCAGGCCGCGTCCCCGCGACACGTTCGCTGCTGAGCGAGTGGAAGTGCATCGTGCGACCTGCGGACGAGCAGCGGCGACGACGTTTCGTGTCCGCCTGTCCGGCCGTCTTCCGAGGTAAGTGATGTGGCGTTCGCACGAAGTCGAAGCTTAATCTCCACGACCATGGTTCTTTCGCGGAAATTGTTATCTCTACTGGAGCCTCTTCCTCCCGGAAGAGCATTCCTCTTTTTCCGTCATCGCGAGTGGAAATGTAGCGTATGAATAAATAGAGTTGTACGTGTCGCGATATTTTCTTTCTCGGAAGGTAAAAAGGGGCACTGAAAAACGATTGTGCAACTGAAAATGTCTGAAAATGCAGTTATAGCGCGCGATTGGCATCGTCCATTTGGTCCTTCTCGTCACGTTCGTGTGTACCTTTGTACTTTAAACGAACTGAATTATATATACAGGACATGTGTGGGATATATTTTTGTTTTATTTTAATCGAAGCTTT